GGGAGATGGAGAGGAGACAGAGGGGAGTAGGGAGATGGAGAGGGGACAGAGGAGAGGGGAGGAGGGAGATGGAGAGGAGACAGAGGGGAGGGGAGGAGGGAGATGGAGAGGAGACAGAGGGGAGGGGAGGAGGGAGATGGAGAGAAGACAGAGGAGACAGAGGGGAGGGGAGGAGGGAGATGGAGAGGGGACAGAGGGGAGTAGGGAGATGGAGAGGGGAAAGAGGAGAGGGGAGGAGGGAGGGAGATGGAGAGGAGACAGAGGAGAGTAGGGAGATGGAGAGGAGACAGAGGAGAGGGGAGGAGGGAGATGGAGAGGAGACAGAGGAAAGGGGAGGAGGGAGATGGAGAGAAGACAAAGAGGTGAAAGGGAAACTAATATTTTGTTAGCACATTTACTACGTATGAATCAGGATCAATCCCTTGACAACACCCAACATTATATTCTGCTGACTTTTCCTTCTTAACCTTCCCAAAACAGACGACACATTTTGATGGCAGGCCTACTGTAGCCACTCCTGTCTGGAGGTGTCCTCCTTACTGTTGCCAACCTGTCTCCTTGTCTGGAGGTGTCCTCCCTACTGTTGCCAACCTGCCTCCTTGTCTGGAGGTGTCCTCCTTACTGTTGCCATCCTGTCTCCTTGTCTGGAGGTGTCCTCCCTACTGTTGCCAACCTGTCTCCTTGTCTGGAGGTGTCCTCCCTACTGTTGCCAACCTGCCTCCTTGTCTGGAGGTGTCCTCCTTACTGTTGCCAACCTGTCTCCTTGTCTGGAGGTGTCCTCCTTACTGTTGCCAACCTGCCTGGAGGTGTCCTCCTTACTGTTGCCAACCTGCCTGGAGGTGTCCTCCTTACTGTTGCCAACCTGCCTGGAGGTGTCCTCCTTACTGTTGCCAACCTGCCTCCTTGTCTGGAGGTGTCCTCCTTACTGTTGTCAACCTGTCTCCTTGTCTGGAGGTGTCCTCCTTACTGTTGCCAACCTGTCTCCTTGTCTGGGGGTGTCCTCCTTACTGTTGCCAACCTGTCTCCTTGTCTGGAGGTGTCCTCCTTACTGTTGCCAACCTGACTCCTTGTCTGGAGGTGTCCTCCTTACTGTTGCCAACCTGACTCCTTGTCTGGAGGTGTCCTCCTTACTGTTGCCAACCTGTCTCCTTGTCTGGAGGTGTCCTCCTTACTGTTGCCAACCTGCCTCCTTGTCTGGAGGTGTCCTCCTTACTGTTGCCAACCTGTCTCCTTGTCTGGAGGTGTCCTCCTTACTGTTGCCAACCTGACTCCTTGTCTGGAGGTGTCCTCCTTACTGTTGCCAACCTGACTCCTTGTCTGGAGGTGTCCTCCTTACTGTTGCCAACCTGACTCCTTGTCTGGAGGTGTCCTCCTTACTGTTGCCAACCTGCCTCCTTGTCTGGAGGTGTCCTCCCTACTGTTGCCAACCTGTCTCCTTGTCTGGAGGTGTCCTCCTGACTGTTGCCACTCCTTGTCTGGCGGTGTCCTCCTTACTGTTGCCAACCTGACTGGAGGTGTCCTCCTTACTGTTGCCAACCTGCCTGGAGGTGTCCTCCTTACTGTTGCCAACCTGCCTGGAGGTGTCCTCCTTACTGTTGCCAACCTGCCTCCTTGTCTGGAGGTGTCCTCCTCACTGTTGCCAACCTGACTGGAGGTGTCCTCCTTACTGTTGCCAACCTGCCTCCTTGTCTGGAGGTGTCCTCCTTACTGTTGCCAACCTGCCTGGAGGTGTCCTCCTTACTGTTGCCAACCTGCCTGGAGGTGTCCTCCTTACTGTTGCCAACCTGCCTGGAGGTGTCCTCCTTACTGTTGCCAACCTGCCTGGAGGTGTCCTCCTTACTGTTGCCAACCTGCCACACATTGTTAGGGGAGTTATATGTTTTTTTTTATATGGAACAGGGAATGTACTGCAGACCTACTGTACGTCTGCATCCCAAATGCCACCCTATTCCCTACATAGAGCACTACTTTCCACAAGAGCCCATGGGCCCTGGTTAAAAGTAGTGCACTAGAATAGGGAATAGGGTGCCATTTTGGAGGAAACCTAGATGTAGACCTACCTATCGCTCCAGCTGAGAGGTCTATGATGGCCTGGACCACTGGATGTGGTGCCATGATGATGATGTGATGATGTTAAACCTTCACCACTGGTCACAGAAGAACACATCACCCACAGTAAACATTCACAGGCTGTCATAGAAGAACACATCACCCACAGTAAACATTCACAGGCTGTCATAGAAGAACACATCACCCACAGTAAATATTCACAGGCTGTCACAGAAGAACACATCACCCACAGTAAATATTCACAGGCTGTCATAGAAGAACACATCACCCACAGTAAATATTCACAGGCTGTCACAGAAGAACACATCACCCACAGTAAATATTCACAGGCTGTCACAGAAGAACACATCACCCACAGTAAATATTCACAGGCTGTCACAGAAGAACACATCACCCACAGTAAATATTCACAGGCTGTCACAGAAGAACACATCACCCACAGTAAATATTCACAGGCTGTCACAGAAGAACACATCACCCACAGTAAATATTCACAGGCTGTCACAGAAGAACACATCACCCACAGTAAACATTCACAGGCTGTCACAGAAGTTCATAAACTGATACAACTATTATGTTAGGCGGTCAAGGTGGATGATTTAGCAACACCCTTCTACTGTCCCTGTGTGTTCTATCAAACACTTAAAGGCCTACATAAAAGTAATCATGTGGCAGTATCACAGTTCCTGTATGTAACTATCATCTATAATTTCCATTAAAATGTTGTCATTATGTCTTGAGAGAAGTAAATCTATTTGCGGGTCAGTAATTGTGCTAAAGAAGACTAATGGATGGCCTAAACCTGGTCTAATTATAGAGGCAGCAGATTGGCGGCATCCAAAATGGCAACCTATTCCCGATGTAGTGCACTTCTTTTGATCGGGGCCTTGATCAGAAGAAGTGCACTACAAAGGGGCTAGGGTGCCATTTGGGACAGAATTAGGTTAGCCTACTGATGTGTCTCCAGTTCAGGTGTCCATTCATTCCCTCAGAACCGGATAGAAGGCTATGCGTGCCATGGCCTCAAACCAAGCCATATTATACCCACAGGAATGGGGAGTAACTGATTACACGTAATCTGATAACTTTTTTCTTTTTTATGTAATCAGATATTACCAGCCAAAAATATTGTAATAAGATCACAGATACTTTAGAAAAACGAGATGATTACTTATTGGATCACTTTTAAATTGAGAAAGGATGTTTGCGAGAAAATAAATACATTACGAAACCTTTCTGTTGTTCGACCCTTGAAAAAAAAAAAAGGCGCAAATTTAAAGTTTGTTCCACCTGAGCCGGTCTGACCAGCCATATATTTTAATCATAGGCTGAATATTATGTTTGAATCGAGGCTTACCAGTATCCGTGCCAGGCTGTTTCTGCTTTGCCAATTTTGTCGGTGTAGCGTTGTCGTAGTTACAGCAGACTGCTCTATACCCAGATTAAAGCGGAAGACCATTTGTCACATACAGTCCACAATAACATGCATTGCCGGGAAAAATCCTGAAATATGTCACTCGACATGACAGTTGGATTTGATGGTTGACTGAATTTCAAGCCACATTCCCTCATGGACGCGCTCTGCCAAATCCACTCATGCTAAATTCCGTTCAGACAATCGCGGAAGTTCCTTGCCAGCGTCAATCAGTTAGCGTTCCTTGATGTCTTCTTCCTGATTTAGTTGAACAAGTCTTCACCTGCTCTGGAACGCTGTCGCCCCTGTAGCGCTTGCTGACGCATGGCCCAGGAATACATTGCGACTTTTAAATCTGTGAACAAACCTTTGTGATTGTGAACGAAATGCGAGACATTAGGCTATTATGCAAACATATTACTGTGTGTGTGTGTGTACCTGATGTGTACAGGAAAGACGCCCTACAACTGGCACAATGTGGCAGTACCCGCAAATGACCAAAAGATGTTAGCACAGGCAAAGAGTCCGCCGAGAAGTGTGGGCTGTTTTGGCTGATCTCCTGCAGGTTGACAGTGTTGTCCAATTTTACATTTACGTCATTTAGCAGACGCTCTTATCCAGAGCGACTTACAACTTGGTGCATTCACCTTATAGCCAGTGGGACAACCACTTTACAATATGTGTTGTTGTTTTTTTTAGGGGGGGGTTTGGGTGGGGTAAGGGGGGGTAGAAGGATTACTTTATCCTATCCCAGGTATTCCTTAAAGAGGTGGGGTTTCAAGTGTCTCCGGAAGGTGGTGAGTGACTCCGCTGTCCTGGCGTCGTGAGGGAGCTTGTTCCACCGAGTGTATGTTGTCAATAGTTGGGATTGGAGCAGCCTCGGGGCAGGACCACTGGCCTAGGCTGTCTCTAACCCTCACCATTTCAATATAATACTTTTCACACCAAAGCCCTAACTAAATCATCCGGGTTAAAATTGTACACTTACAAATCTCAATGTAACTTCTGTTCTACCTCCCTCCTTCTCATCTCACCGCTAGTATTATTATCATCATCATCAACATGATCAAATGTAATGTTTTAATATCAGTTCCTCTGACTTCCATTGGATAACTAATAAGCATTTGAAGAAACTGATTTGCTGGCTAATAGTCTTCAGTAGATTATATAATATATCATCATTAACTGTCTTGTTCTGGGGGTTTACAGTCATTTTCCATGAGACTCTAAAAAGCGAACAAATCTGGGTTCTCTTCTCATCCTGTCCCGCTATGCAATTTACAATAACACCGTGACCCGACAGAAAAACCCTCCCCTCATTTTATAACTCATCCTTTTCACAGTAGGTTACGTTGTAAAAAGGTGAAGTCTCTTTCTCTTTACCTCTCTCTCTCTCTCCAACAAAAACAAAGCGATTAGGTTTCCTAGCATACCGTTTCACAAAGCGTTCCCGTTTTAATCTTTTCAGAGAAAGAGATGTTTACCAGGTATATAAGAATGAAAACATAGTGTTGTTTCTGGTTTTAAGTGGCTGTCATTGGCCAATTTAGTTGTCACTCAAATGTGGGTGTTATCCGTTGACACACGATAGTTCCAGTAACGCCGCTGCGGTGCTGTCGGGCTGTACACTGACGTTCAACAGGCGAGACTAAACGGAACTGGCGGACTGAATAATAACTGCGAATGGGGTTGTAAAAACAAAAGTTCACCAAGCTGGTTTTTTATATTCTAACTTTTCTATTCTATTCGGCAACAATCAAAAGATCGACATTTTTTTCCACCGTCGACTTAGATTTAGTTGCTGTCTCTGCCTTGATTTGTGACTTTATATCAATGTAGAGTTATCGGACGGACCGATATTTTTTGTTCAGGTGGTCGACCAGTACCTTTTTGGTTGTTTACTTGCTGGCTGCCTTCAAATTACCCGCTGTGTATGAGTAACTTTCTCTTTACTAATTCTATGCGACATTTCGCGCTATCTTAGCTACAATTATGGCCGAGGCAGCCCAACAACCACAACTGGTTGAAATCGACCCGGATTTCGAGCCTCTCTCCCGGCCCCGCTCCTGCACGTGGCCCCTGCCGCGTCCGGAGTTCATCAACCCGGGCGACTCCAACACCTCCTCTCCCGCCCCTTCTGTCAAACAAGAACCCAGCAGCAACTCCGAATTCATCTCCAACCTCAGTTTATTAGAAGAGACTGAAGACTACACCGAAGAGGATCAGAAACCCACCATCCTCTGCAATGATTTCCAATGTCAGGAAAACTGCATCCACGACCACCAGCAGACCCCACAGCATCAGCAGCAGCACCCGGGGAACAGCCCCCAACTCCCGCAGCAACAGCAACAGGTGCTGCTGCTCTCCTCTCCGGCCGGGTCTGCATCTTCAGTAGCGGCTGCGGCCGCCGCAGCTGCCCAGAGGAAAAGCAGCTCATCTCGGCGTAACGCCTGGGGCAATATGTCCTATGCTGACCTCATAACTAAGGCTATCGAGAGCACCACGGACAAGAGGCTCACCCTGTCTCAGATCTATGACTGGATGGTGAAGAGCGTGCCTTATTTCAAGGACAAGGGAGACAGCAACAGCTCTGCTGGATGGAAGGTAAACTCTCGATACAGGACATTACATCTGATGAGATTTTAGTTGTGATTTAAGGGCTATAAAAATGATAAGGATATAGAAAAAATTGACCTTTTAATTGCCTATATATCAAAGTTGATGCTTTTCGTCATTTAAAATGTTGATATTAACCCATGTTATTAGATGTTAATAACACAGGTGAGGGTTACATGCGGCTTGCAGAAAAGGTTTATTGTAGGATTGGGTATTACAGACCTGTAATGCTATCTCTATAGGTGTACTTGTTCATTTCTATCCTAATAGCATCATCTGCAATGCATCAGTGGAGACATTATTTGCTGGTCTTGTGCACCCAATCAATCAGTCACTGTATGTCCATTCATTGTGTGACCTGATGAAACCTGTGGCTGCCCATTGTAACCCAGTAACCCAGTCAGCACATGGCCACACACACACACACACACACACACACACACACACACACACACACACACACCGACTCACCCTCCCCCCCCCCCCCCCCCCCCCCCCAATACTATTGCACAAGAGGGGACTGGGAGTCAGACAGTCACTGATGTGGTGTGCTAGGCCCTCCTCCTCTCCCAGTACTGCTAATATTCAAAGAAGTAAACATACTGTAGTTGATCCGCAGACGCTGGTCTCACTCACTTTGTCTCTGCCAAAATGTGTCAGCAGCAACCCTGTCTACACTCGCTGTGGCAAAACACACTAAGACTGAATGGCATATATTATTATTATTATTATTATTATTATTATTATTATTATTATTATTATTATATATTTATTATATGAAGACTTTAGTCAGATTTGTAGCCTGTGTTTCTCTACTCTGCCATAACTACGGCTTGGTTCTGTCTCTCAGTCAGAGTGGAGGCAGTAGTTTGTGGTATTTCTGAAGAGGCAGGCTATGGTGTGTGGCGAGTGACATACAGAGCAAAGGGTTTTGTATTTCCGTCACGTGCTGGGAAGACGAGGACACACACCTCTTTCTATCGGGAGAAGGACAGCCCCTTTCTTCCTCGCAATTCAATTTCAATTTAAAGAGCTTTATTGGCATGGGGGGGAAACGTACGTTAACGTTGCCAAAGCAAGTGAAGTAGATAGTAAACAACAGTGAAATAAACAATAGATATTAACAGTAAACATTACACTCAGAAGTTCCCAAGGAATAGAGACATTTCAATTGTCATATTATGTGTATATATACAGTGTTGTAACGATGTGCAAATAGTTAAAGTACAAAAGGGAAAATCAACATAAATATGGCTTGTATTTACAATGGTGTTTGTTCTTCACTGGTTGCCCTTTTCTTTGTTCCTTTGTGTGTGTTTTTTTTTTTTTTTAGGGGGAAAACTTTGGGGGCCAAGGGGGGGAACTAAGGGAAAGGGGGAAAGTCCCCGGGGGGGGGAGCG